ACCCAGTTACATCTCTCTTTTAGACGGTTCTCTCCCTCCTCTGTTTCAGTGCAGTATACATTATTGAACCCATCTTACTCATTCTCTCCCCAACCCCAAGGACAGTCCCATTTTACAACAGTGGCATTATGTAATATTTGTCCTTTTGTTTTTACTCTTTTTTCCCTTATACAGAATCATGTTGCTTGCTGTAGCAATACTATCACTCTATTCAGTGCATCTGCTGTTAAAAACATCCAAGGAAGGAGGTAAGTTACCCTAAGTCCAAGATAATAGATCTTGACTTTCATATAAAGGTACTTCAGTCTATAGCTTTTGCCATGATTTCAGTCAATTTCATATTTAATTTTTTATCTCAGTGACATGATCTTTCAATGGTTGTGGTAATCTGAGAAATTATTTAAAGCCAGCTGGGTTAAGTTCAAACCAAATAGAAAAAAGAGGACTTTTTTGATCCATGGCAGAAATAACAATTTTGGCTTGCATGCAAACTAAAATGAAGTCATTCTTGATGAAAGAAATTTTAATATATTTCTTACTAGGCTTTGAGGCTGAATTTTGGGAGTTTATAATTTGTGTTTTGGTCCATGTATGATTCCATGTGTTTTGGTCCACTGTAGATTTACAGGATACTTATTTAATCAATTTTAAATAGTTATTTTTTTTCCTTTGTTTATAGGTTCTTTAATTTATGAAAAATTAGGGGAAAAGGCATTTGGATGGCCTGGAAAAATTGGAGCTTTTGTGTCTATAACAATGCAGAATATTGGAGGTAAGGAGACATGGCTTTTCAATAGACTACTTAAGCTTCCAATAGAATGTTCAATAAAGAAGAAACTTTGTATAAATTAATAACCCACTGAAGTCTCAGAGTGAGTTATAAGAACAGAACTGCCTGGGAGGTTTCCAAAGTTGTAAATCTTTATGGCTGTAATATTCCCAAACTGCCCACCTTCTGGTTAGCAACCAAGAACCTTAAGCACTGCATCCTCAAGAAACACTGGTAGATGTTTTCTCTACCACTGCAAAGGAAATGCCGTTAGGTTAGGAATGCAACTTACTGCCAACTACGCAATCAGAGCTCCCTATTAGTTCTATGGAGTACAAAAATTTTCTACTGGACTGCTGTTTGCACTGTAAGCTTGGAAATGCATATTTTTCCAACAGTGTTCCAGGTCATATAGCATCTCCATACTAGTTCTGAGAGTTGATATATTGCCTTTGACCTTCAAAAGGCATCCAGACTCATATTTCTTTTTTTTGATACACCCCTCCGACCCCCACCTATCCTCACCCTCTCATATTTTTTAATGACTGACTGTTGCTGCATGGGCTGTATATCTTTTCTCCCCCTTCAATGATTTTATTTATTTTTGTGGTAGGTATAGATATAATAGAAAGAGCACTCAGTATTGGGCACAGGAATAGCCCCATAACCAGCCTTGTATCATGCACCACAACAATTTTTCATCATTATCTTTCTGTCTAAATTGTATCCTAATTTTGTTTGGTGTGGGGTTTTTTATTTGCCTTTCATCAATAATTTTTTATATTACTCTGATTTATTTACAAAGTTTTAATATATTGTTTTCACAAAGGATCCTTCCCATTTCCTTTACCTCATCCACCCAATGAATTGTGCAACCCTATGATTAACACCCTTCTCCCCCATCTTCACCCCTCTATTTCCACCCTCTCTCCCCCTCCCCACCTTGGATCCTCATATTCATTCTACAAAAATGGTCTTATACAGTATTTGTCCTGTGAGACTGAGTTTGTTCACTCAGCATAATCCTCTTCAGTCCCTCCCAAGTTAGGTAGTAATTTACAAAATAATTGTTCCTGTGTGCTGGGTCGTATTCCATTGTATGAATGTACCACAACTTCTCAGTCTATTTGTGGTTGGACATGCTGGCTGTTTCCATGTTCTTGCAATGGTGAAAAATGCTGCTATGAACACTGGGGTACAAGTTTCCATTTAAGCCTTAGTTCTCATTTTCCTGGGGTATATTACAAGCAATGGAATAGCTGGGTCATATGGAATTTCTATGTTCAGCTTTTTGAGGAAACGCCAAGCTGCCTTTCAGAGGCTGGATATCTTTGTACATAATAGTAGCATTTTTCTCAGTCCTCAACCTACTTCTTTATTCATTCTTCTATGAAAAGTATGATGCTTTCTTAAGCTATAAATCTAGATGTCTGCTCAAATAAGATCTTAGACCAAATCTCCCTTCTAGTCTTTATTTCTTGTTTATCTCATAAATTTCTATTCTCCTTCCATCTTCACTACTACCACAATCCTAGTGAATTCCATTTCTAACTCAGACTAAAGCAGTAGCCTTCTAACAAGTCTCCCTGCTTTAAGTTTCTCATCTAATTCATCCTTCAAATAAACTTCCAAATTAAAATTTATTACTGATTCTCCCATGCATGAAATTCTTAAGCATATTCTCTTAAAATTTTTCAGATAAATTTTAAATCCCTTGGCCTTATACATAAGACTCTTCATGGTTTGTCTTCTCCTGCTTACCTTTTTGACACTTCTACCAACCTCCATATCTATCTATCTGTCTGTCTATTCTCTATGAATTCTGCATCATAACATAGCGTTATTTGTTGTTGTTGTTTGGTCCTTTCGAGTGAGTACAACTCATGGTGACCCTGTGAGCAAAAGATCTGAACCCTGTTCCATCCTGAACCATCCTCACACTTCCTGACACACAAGAGCTCATTACAGCAGTCACCAGCATATCAATCCACCTGGTTGAGGGTCTTCCACTCCTTCTCCCACCCTCCACTCTTCCCAGCATCCTTCTCCAAGGAATAGCATCTTCTAGCAACACATCCAAAGTATGTGAGGTGAAGCGTCATCATTCTTGCCTCCAAAAAAGCCCTGCAGCTGCACCCTCTCCAAGACGTATCTGTTCATTCTTTTGGCCGTCCATGGGATGGATGTCCAGTGCTCTTCTCCAACACCACAGCTCAAAGGCTTATTCATTGTCTAGCTCTTAGATGCATAGCTAGTAATCAGAAAGATTATGGCATGAATCAGTTGCACCTTAGTCTTCAAATTGACATCACTACTCTTCAGTAACATAGAATTATTTGTACCCCTAATCAACACTCAACAAAGATCTGGTAGTCTAGTGGCAAGAATGTTCTGGCAACCTAATTGGATCAGCTGCTCCAAGATAGAGACATGGGCATTCTGCTCCTGTGTAATTACAACCTAGGAAAACCCTCTGGAGGATCAGTTATCAGTCAGTTCTGACTAGACAGCAATGAATAACAACAGCAGCCAAGAAATCAAAAGGAGTGTTGCACTGGCACAATCTGCTCTCAAAGTGCTAAAGATCAAGGGTGTCATTTAAAAAACGAAGATGCACCACCTGGTCCAAGCTGTGACATTTTCAGTTGTTTCCCATTAATCTGAAAGTTGGACAATGAGTAATGATGGGAGAAGAAAAATTAATATTTTTGAACTGTAGTGTTTGTAAAGAGTCCTAAATATCCCACAGGCTGCCCAAAGAACAATCAAGTCTGTTTTGGAGGAGGAACAACCAAGGTATCCTTAGAGGGAAGGAAGGAGAAACTTGGTTTCACCTACTTTGGCTTATTTTATCAGGAGGGGCCTATTCCTGGAAAAAGACATCATGCTGGAAAAGGTGGAGGGTCAGAAAAAGAAAGACTCTTAATAAGATGAATTGATAAAATTATTATAACAGTGGGCACAAGCATGTCGGAGATTGTGAAGCTGGTGCAGGATAGAGCAAGATTCAGATTTGATGTTCACAGGGTGACTATGAGTTGTCATTGATCCAATGGCTGTAGCTATAGGTGTATATTATCTATTATTATACACCATCAGTTCAGAACTGACTCATAGGTGACCCTCCAGAGGGTTTTCAGAGGCAGTACCCTGCATGGGAGATTGCCCATATTTGTCCCAAGAAGCATCTGGTCAATTCTAACCACTTGCCTTTGAGTTGGCAGTGCAACTCCTTACCACTAGGTAACCAGTGCTCTTATATACATACATACATATGTGTATATATATTTACACATATATGGTTATGTGTATATACACACACACAAATGTTTGTGTATATATGCATAGTATATATGTATAATATTTATAATACATATGTGTCTATATATGTATGTGTTATATATGTTATGTATGGGATATATGTATATATTAATATGTAAAATTAAAGAAGGCCTGATAGTGCAGTCCATTAATTGGGTTACTAGCTGAAAGGTTAGTGATTCCACAGAAAAAGGCTGTTAGCTCCTATAAAGATTATAGCCTGGAAATCCTGTGTGGCAATTCAGTTTTGTCCTATAGGGTCACTATGTGTTAGAATGATCTAGACAACAAAGAGTTTGTTGTTTTCGGTTTACTGTTATTCATCCAATGTTTTTAAAAACACCCATAGTACATTCTTTCATCATGTAGTTTCTTCCCTTTGATTGTTTTTTGATGATTCCAGCTCTAACTCACATTCACACAAAAATCCCCACAGATGCCAACACAATTTCTCTCTCTTTCCTTCCTCACTGTTTCAACCCTTCTATAGATTGGTGACATAGTGGTAACTTCTCAGTGTGCTAAGGTCAGCTGTTCAAGTCTACCAGCCACTCCAAGGGAGAAAGAATGGATAGTCTCTTCCTGTAAATACTGACAACCTTGGAAACTCAGTGGAATTTCTCTTTGAGTTAGAACTGACTCAGTAGTAGCACATTTGGAGGCTGTTAGGCTCAGTTCTTCTCTGATCCTTCAGCTATCTTTGTGTGCATCTGATATGATCTTGGGTAGGGTTTTGGGGTTTGGGGGGTTTTTTTGAAAGATATTCTAAAACCTTTAGGGTAGAAAATAGTTTTTGATACATCTGAGTCTGTTTCTGTCACCTGTAATCTGTGACCTTGGAAAAATCAGTTAACTCCTCTGAGTCTTTTTCCATCTCAGTTCACAAAGATGAGAATAATACCCCATATTTACTAGGTTGTTGTGAGGGTTTATGAAAATAACATCTGGCATGTGATAAAGGTTCAGATATGCTTCCTTTTTCTTGTTCTCGGCCTCAACATCTGTGTCTCTGGAGCCCTCCTGATTGCTTTTGTAATTAAAAAGCAAAAATAAACTAGTTGTGAAAATGAAAACATTTCATAAATATATAAATTACAGAGAAACATTTATGTCAGTCAGCCTCAAAAATAACTACTCCAAGTTCTTCTCTATGCCTAATTTAACAAACATGTTGTTGTTATTAAGATTGGATCATCTTGCAATGCTGTTTTGCAGCTTGCTTTTTTGTTTTACAATATGACCTGAACTTATTTACATGCAATCATTTTTAATTGCTGTAGAGTTTGGACATTATAAAACTGTCACATAATTGGTTTACTACATCCCTTACTGATGAATGATTAAATTATTTTCAACATAACAAACAATATTGAAGTAAATTACTTGCATTAGATATCTTGTAACTTCTGACATAGACTCATTGGAGTTTTATCTAATATTTCTGGAATGGAACAGTTCTTTTAACCACTTTCCTCAACTCTCTTGCCCTTAGTAATGGACAGTTTGAATAAAATCCATTTATATCTTAATTACTGTGTTTATTTTTCTCCACATGTTTATATACCAAGACAATAATTCTGGGTAGAATTTGGCAGCAACAATAAGAATGCCTCTTTTCTTTTACTGAGTTGGGGCTACAAACATATCTGCTCTCTCCATCTTCCACCAATTAATTGTTTTTGTCCATTTGGTTCACATTTTCAGCCTTGTGAAGATGAAAATTATCAAGCAATTCACAACTTCATAGTTGATCTGATTTACTTGTTTTGACAAATTACTGGACATGAGCATAGTTACACTGAACCCAATTGACTGAGCCATTGCTCTGCTTTTAAACAATGCAATAAACAATTCTCTTAATCAAGTCACATACGCATGTAAGACATGTGCCTTTGCAATGCTGTTGTTGTTGGTCGCCATCGAGTATCACTCACCGACCCTATGAACAACAGATCTAAATCTTGCCCTATCCTGCTTCACCCTCATGGCCTCTGAAGTGTTTGAGCCCTTTGCTAATGTCACTGTATTGATCCAACTTGCTGAGGGTCTTCCTCTCTTTCTCTGTATCCCCACCTTTCCCAGCATGATGTCTTTTTCCATGGACAGACCCTCGATAGGACTTTACAACAGTGAGATGCAATTTCAAAATACCACACTGAAAATGTGCTCACTTTAATTACTCTATCTGGTTAGTGGCTGTTTTGGAATAAGAAACATCACTTGTATTTCTGTACTTACCAGCTTCATGTTTAGAACAGTTAATTTTCTCAATTCCTTTGGAAAATTAACATTCACCAGAGATGTTTTAACATTAGCAGGATTATGTTGACATTACTCAGACAGGTCTTGATCATTCTGAATTTTAGAAGACAAAACACATTAGCAGTGGTGACATCAGTGAAAGCCAGCAATTAATAGTTCTAATATTAAATAGGACTTCATTGACCCAGTTCATCAGAACCATCTCCTGTTTACTCGGTAAGCTTTAACTTTAGCTGAAGATGTGTAAAAATTAACTAAACAATATTTACTGCACACAGAAATATCCTTTATAATAGAGAATCACTGGCCCTCAAATCAGGGGAGTGATATTTTGGGTGTGGTCTGTCACTTTCAACCTATGTGAACTAGAATATGCCAGAAGAACCTAAAGCTCTTGTTGTGGAAGATCAAAGACTACAGCCTTCAACATGGTTTGCATCTTAATATCAAGAAGACAAAGTCCTTACCACTGGGCAAGTGAGCAACATCCGGATAGAAGGAGAAAGGGCTAAAACTTCATGATTTTGTCTTGTTTGGATCCACAATCAACTCCCTTGGTACTAGCAGTCAGGAGATAAGGAGACTTATTCTTTAGACAAGTCTGCTGTCAGGAATCTCTCCAAAATACTGAAGAGCAGTGATTTCAGTTTGAAGATTAAGGTGTCCCTGATTCAGACCATGGTCTTGTCATTTACTTGCTATGCATCTGAGAGCTTGACAGTGAATAAGAATGACATAAGAATTGATGCCTTTGAACTGTGGTGTTGAAGAAGAGTACTGAACATCCCATGGATGGCCAAAAGAATAAATAGATATGTCTTGGAAAAGTGCAGCCATAGTATTCCTTGGATGCAAGGATGACAAAACTTCATCTTTCATACTTTAGATATATTGCCAGCAGAAACCATTCCTTGTAACAGGCTAACATGCTGAGAAGGATGGAGGATCAGCAAACGAAAGGAAGACTTCAAGATGGATTGACACGATGATTGTAGCCATGAGCTCAAGTGTATGAGAGACAGGATGGCACAGGACAGGATGGGTTTCAGGTCTCTTGTTCATCTGGTCACTAAGAATTATACTTGACTTGATGGCACCAGCAGTGGAATGAAGACAATCTCATATGCCTTCTTAAGTTTCTGGGGCTTTCATATGACTAAATGAAATGATGTGAAGTCATAAACAATACGGGGAATTATTATCAACATTATAACCTTTGTTTGCAGTTAAAGAAATATTTTTTGAATTATTTCTTGTTGTTATTGTTAGTTGCCATTAAGTCCGCTCCAACTCAACGGCTAGAAACATCTTTTAGTAAAAAAGAGTCAGCATAAGGATGTTGCACACATTTAAAAATGTGGGTAAAACTTTTTGGATTTAATTTAAAATTAAGAAACTCATTTTAATTGAATCTTATGAACATGTGACACATAAAAATTAATATTACTCTTTACTGAGAGGGCTGTAGCATACATTTCTGAAATTGTAGACAAATTGTATATGTGTGTATAAATATGTTTTTCTTAAGGAGCAAGTTGTAAATTCCATCAAATTTTCAAAAGAGTGTGTGATCACACATATAACACTTGTATAAACCAGTGGCCATCCAGGGAATGCCATCTCATGGAGTCCTCAGGCGAGTCAGGGTAGAATTGTGCTCCATAAGCTTTCCTTGGTTGACTTTTAAGAAGTAACACACCAAGTTTTTCTTTCAAGGCACCCCTGTGCACACTCTGACCACTAAAACGTCCATTAGCAACTGACTGTGTTAACCACCATCCAAGGATGCAGTCATTGTTCCAGAAGCTCACAATTCTACATGATTTGCATAATTTCTTTGTCTAAAAGGAGGCTCCGGTAGCCTAGTGACACTGAGCTGTGCTGCAATCTCAATGGTGTGTGGTTCGAATTCACCAGCTGCTCCACAGGAGAAGGATGGGTAATCTCTTCCCTTGCAAATTACTGCCTCTAAAAACCTGCTGGAGGGTCAGCTATGAGTCTGTTCTGACTCAAAGACACACAATAACAATTGTGCCATATTCGTGTTAGTTTAGTGACTTAAGCATATTGAGTATTCATCGCTTACTCTTGGGGCTCCGGTGGCCTAGTCATAAGAACCTGTACCCAGGGCCATATGGTTCACATCCACTAGCTGCCCTGTGGGAGAAAGATGGGCAATCTCCTCCCAAGTGATTTGCTGCCTCTGAAACCCCAGCTGCTGGTTGGTTCCTATTTGATGGCACACAACAACAAGGGGAGACTAGGACATAGAGATAAAACAATTGGCAAGTGATGGAATGGGAAGCTCTATAATTTCCTGAGTTCTTTGATCAATCCAAGATGATGGCTATTTAGACAATAAGCTATCTGACACGTGTATGTTACAGGGAGATCACAGAGGACTAGAATGACACCAGTGGGCAAAGCTAGAGTGGGCAATCTCCACCCGTGCGATTAATTGTGTCTGAAATCCCACAGGAGAGTCAGCTATGAATTGGTTCCTACCACAGTGCCCATTCTCTCTGACCAATGACTTTTGTGGCTAGTCCCTTGCCCAAATTACAGACACCAAAATAGGCCCTCTCAGTATGGATCATGCTAATTTATAGCTAAGGAGGATAAAATCGTAGTTTGCCTGAAAACCACAGAGCTCGTATTTAACACAAATAAGCTAACAAAAGTTGTTTCTGCCAATGTGATTCTAACTCACCGTGTTCCTATTCGTTATGAAGTAGAACTGCTCTATACAGTTCTCTTGGCTGTAATCTTTGCAGACACATATTGTCAGGTCTTTTCTTCTCTGCTTCCACTGGGTGTGTTCACACTGTATACTAACTTTCAGGTCAGTAAATGAGCACAAACCATTTATATCCCCTAGGCATCTTGGCTTTAACACAGAAACAGCACTTCTTCTTTCTCTTAGCTAAGGTATACATACAAGAACTAGAGGGTCAAATATTCTGAAAATAACTTGGAAATAGTATAAACTACATGATAATCTTTGCTTTTGAAGGATTTGATGCTCACTGTGCTTCTGAGAATGAAGGGTGTTCCTAAATGTCCAGATTTCTTTTGATCTTAAACGGCCTTTAGTGGTAAGCACATCATTGAGTTGTCAACTTTTCTTTTTTTTTTTTTTTTAGCAATGTCAAGCTACCTCTTTATCATTAAATATGAACTACCTGAAGTAATCAGAGCATTCATGGGACTTGAAGAAAATACTGGGTATGTCTTATATTCTCTGTAGTATGAATGGATTCCTTCCGTGTGGCCTTTTTTTTGATCTTGATAAATTTCTCTTTCTCTTCTAGAGAATGGTACCTCAATGGCAACTACCTCGTCATATTTGTGTCTGTAGGAATTATTCTTCCACTTTCTCTTCTCAAAAATTTAGGTAGAGTATTTTTTTTAAATGGAAAGGAATTGCATTTAATAGTGTAGTAGGTAAGCTGATTGTAGATGGCGTATTCACCTTCCAGAACTTTTCTGCTATCTCATAGGTTACCTTGGTTATACCAGTGGATTTTCCCTTACCTGCATGGTGTTTTTTGTCAGTGTGGTAAGTGATTCATTGCTGTGATCCCTGTACTTTCTTGTAGCATGAAATGCTTTCAGTACCTCATTTAGTGCCTTCATTTTTGTGCAAGCTCTTTAATAGCATCAAGCAGTTCTTGCACCACAAGCAATTTCCTTGTGTTCTAGTGTGAAATGTGAAAACATAGCAGTCATGAGCTTTGAAAGAGTAGAACTAGAATATCCAGACTTCTGCTGTGGTACATTCTAAGCACACTAGGCACCTTAGATAAAAGAAAACTTCAAGTAGAAACATGTCAGTAATTCAATACTCCAAAGTTAGAAGAAAGAGTGAAATAAGTTGAGTAGGCCATTTATAAAATACAAAGTAGCCATTGAGTTGACTCCATTCTGAAGTGATCTTAACTGCGCCAAAGTGGAGCATCCTTGTCCTTTATATGGTTTTCAGTGGCTGGTTATCAGAAGTAGAATGCCAGGACTTTACTCTGAGGTTCCTCTTGGAATAAGCTGTAGAATGATGCATGTCTGCATGAATTAGTCATGTTCTCTTACACACTCTAATCATGAAAAGAAGGCAATCACAGTGGAATTAAAATGAAAAAGACTGATTCCTTTCCCAAAGGCAGGCAGCTTCTTGCAATATAATAAATGCCAAAATTAAAGCATTTCTCCAAAGAAGCAAAGAGGAAAAGAGGAATACTATTTTAGTGATTGATCCTTATTATTTTAGATAACTCCTCTCATCACTGGTTTGAAGAAGGGTTAAGTATGCAATGTTATAAGAAAATTATTGTCTTTCTTATAGGAGGGTATAAAAGCAGGTTGGAATTAGGGGTCAGATTCATGTAAATAAATGTTCTGTGGGATCAAAAAGCTCTACTATTATTTTCTTTAGAACAGAGATAGGGAAAGACTTCTTCATTAGACATTAATTTAAAAGGACTCCCCAGCAGTTTCCACTATTCTGAATAAGCCATAAACACAGACTTTTGTTTTATTGCTTTTCCTTAAATGGCTAAGTTGTTTTTATTTTGCTTTATTTTTTTTACTGACTGGGTTTAGGTGATCTACAAGAAATTCCAAATACCCTGCCCTCTGCCTCTTGTGGATCACAGTGTCGGAAATCTAACATTCAACAATACGTATCCAATGCATGTGATCGCCCTACCCAACAACTCCGACAGTGCTGGGGTGAACTTCATGATGGATTACACTCACCGGAACCCTGCGGCGCTGGATGAGAAACAGGCCAAGGGCTCTCTCCATGGCAGTGGAGTTGAGTATGAAGCCCACAATGATGACAAATGCCAACCAAAATATTTTGCATTCAACTCTCGGGTGAGTAAAAGTGTGAGCTTCTAGTGAGTCTGGCAAGGTGGCCTCTGTGTCTTTGTGTCACGAATTGAGATGGCCCAGGTTCAGCATCTGTGCTGAAATGCTAAATATATGGTATTGTCTTTGTTTTTCAGACGGCCTATGCAATTCCAATCCTAGCATTTGCCTTCGTATGCCACCCTGAGGTTCTTCCCATCTACAGTGAACTTAAAGAGTAAGGCACCATCATTTTCACACTTTGATTTGCTTTCAGAATGTGTTCATGTGTCCACAGGTGCTTAAGTATAAGCATGGGTAGAGCTTTCCCTTCAGAAAGTGTTAGGGTATAAGTTCCCACCAGTAACGTGTTTTAAGTAATACGGTACAGATCAGGGCTCGACCTACTGCTTCCTTTTCTCTGATTCTTCCACCATGAGTCCTGGACCTTGATGATTCAGGGTAGGTGAAGGACGCATCCACACCACTTACGGCTTTTCCAGGAGAGGGGAATTGAACTCTGAAGGCAAGAGGTGATGTTATCTGAACCTCAGGTGAACACACATGAAGACAAACTATTAGGGTTAGGGTGACCTTGCCCAACCTACTGATGTCACTTGTGTTCTGTTCCTAGCCCTTGCCTAGAAGGCATTTATCATGAGAGATGGACCAACATCTGCCGTCTTCATTTAACCTGTAAAATAAAGACATTTGCTACACAATTGTGATTTCCCACCTGCTGGTTTATGATTCATTAATAATCTTTTCCCTTTGAGGTTGTTGACACTTGCCTGGGGACAAGATGCAGCTTAAGGCCATCTGTCACATCTCCAATGTGTACTCTTAGGGGAAGGTGTCACACTGTCGTTCTCAATTCCTTTAATACATTAAAAACCCTAGTCTTCATTACTACACAATAACCACTTTTCTCATAAATTATGATTCACCTCAAAATTTTTTTGTAGAATACTTTCAATTATCATTTGGTTTATTCTGAACACAGTGGCCATGCTTACTCCAGAGGCTTGACAAGAAGAGAAAAGCACCTGCTAGATCAGCTCTGTACTTCCACTGGGAGTTCAGCCTGGCACCTGGTGCAGGCCTGTTCAGGTGACAGTCTGAACTCCTGGTAGAAGTACAGTGCTGCTTCTATGTTTTTGTTCATTAAACTCATAACATCACAAAATGCAAAAATTCTCTACAGGCATCAATTTGACCTCTATCATAATATATGCTTAACTCTGGTGGCCTAGTGGTAAGAAGCTGCGCTACAATCCTGAAGTCACAGGGTTCTAATCTGCCAGCTACTCTGCAGGAGACAGATGAGCGAGCAATCCCTTCCCGTGTGGTTAACTGCCTTTGAAAACCTTCTGGAGGTCCAGCTAGGGGTTGGTGCTGACTCAACAGTACACACCACCACCTCAAACAGTGCATCAGCCTATCTATTGACAAGAAAAGCAAACAACTGTTTCTCTTCCAAGGAAATGATTTTTTTCTAAGACAGAAATAATGCTTAAGAAAGTAGGAAGCATCCTTAACAGCTTTCTACAACAAATCCAAATCAGAGGTAAATTTATGAAGAAGGCTTACTAGTGCAATGGTTTAAGTGCTTCTGCTTCTTTTGTTCTTCAGGGTCACTATCAATCAGTATCTACCCGGCAGCTGAGGGTTTGTTTTATGGCTGCTAAGTTTAGACACTGGAGTCTGTAAAATGAGCAACACACATACATATGCTCAATATTTCATTTAATGAGTCATGTTTTAATATATTGAAAAAGAAAAGTAACACTGTTTCTTTTCCTTTTTCAAGTCGGTCTCGGAGGAAAATGCAAACAGTGTCAAATATCTCCATCACTGGGATGCTTATCATGTACTTGCTTGCTGCCCTCTTCGGTTATCTCACCTTCTACGGTAGGTTGCTGTCAAAGCTACACTTCCCACCAATCCCAGTTAGGCTGACCTAACCTAACCTGTTGTTGTTTAGTGCCGTCAAGTCGCAGGTAACTCATAGCGACCCTATGAAGGAGAGTCCTCAACGCCTGGGTGCCTTTCATCCTCTCTCCAGGTTCATAGGGTTTCCGGAGGCAAGCTGTTACAGAAGTGGATGCCACTCCTCCTTCCAAGTTTATTTTAATCAGGGGGCTCCACCCCACTCTCTGTCCGCATTGGGTAGTCAATCATTAACACATTTGACACACATCAGTGTCACAGTGTTCAACCTCACAGCAACCACAAGTGACCGCTGTACGGCAACTTGTACACCAGGGCTATGTGACCTAGAGGAATGTCTGAACAAAAACAATGAAAGACAGGCCCGAGGGCCAGGGATTAAAAGTCACCCACCTTTGGCTTGGTAGCATCGCTTTCTGTCCACTGGGCCAGCTGATCTCTCTCTCTAACCTAACCTAGGTAGCTGTAATTCTTCATAGGACCCTCTGTGAGTAGCCTGATCTATAGATAATGTATATGTTTAAGTGAAATGGTATTGCAGCCTTGTCACTTTACCTAAGGAAAAGGGCTCTAGTTAGGCTGGCCAATAGTTTGAATTCAAATGTATTTTCTTTACAAAAACAAAAATCTCTCAGATTAGTTTCCTCCAGGGATATATGGATTTCTTTGGTTTTATCCCTATAGTCCATTTCAATATATAAACAATGAGAGTAAATATAATTGTATGCTATCAAATTCTTTTGGTAAAACAGCCAACTATCAGAGAGTTGGAAAAAAAATACAATTTCTGAGTCTGACCTTGGCTTTTTTTTTTCTTTAATCAGTTGTTTTCTGTTAAATAGCTTCCTAAGGAAAAGACAGTTCACTTCAATCTTAAAAGAAATGTGTTACTCCCCTCCCCCTAACCCTTATTGTGACTCTGTCTACATTCCATTATTCCTGAGATAGCTTCCACATAGTATCTGAACAGTACTCGAAAGGGCTAAGATCATCATTCCCTTCCTGAAGCATATTTAACAATATAGACAAATGTCAGGGAGTCAAACACTGATCTAAGTTCCACAGTCACACTAACTTGTACATCAAGACAGATATATTTTACATATAAAAAAATTAAAACCAAGCCCACAGGTTTGAGGTGAAACTGGTTCATGGTGACCCTCTATTGGGTTTGGGAGGCTGCCAATCTTAAGCAAGGAGACTGCTCATCTTTCTCCCACGAAGCCACTGGTGGATTCAAACTGCCTTGTGTGCTGGTAACTCAATGTGTGACACACTAATAAATGTCTTGATTTTCCCCCCATGACTGGTTTGTTGTTGTTGTTGTTGTTAAGTACCATCAAGTTGTCAAAGACTCATAGCGACCCTATGGACAAAAGACCTGAATAATTGTATAATTTTCATCATTTCTCCAAGTTCATATGGTTTCTGGAGGCAAGCCATTTCAGAAGTGGATGCCTCTCCTGCTTCCAAGCTTGTTTTAATCTAGGAGCTCCACCAAACACTGTCCACCATGGGTAACCATTATTGCATTTGGCACATCAGTATCACAGTGTTTAGCATCACAGCAGCTATGAGTAACCTCTGTACAACAAATGGACAGACCAGTGCTATACCACCTAGAAGAAGTTTGACCAAAAACAAGTAAAACCAGGCCTGATGACCACAGATTAAAATCACCTACCTTTGACTTGGTAGCATAACTTTCTATCCACCAGGCCCACAAAACTCTATGTTACTGTTGGTGTTGTTAAGTGCTGTCAAGCTGTAGATGACTCAGAGCCACCCAACGAACGAAAGACCGGAACATTTGTATAACCGTCGTTTTCCATGTTCATTGAGTTTCCAGAGGCAAGCTATTTCGGAAGTGGATGCCACTCCTACTTCCAAGCTTCTTTTAATTGAGGAGCTCCACCAAACACTGTCCACTATGGGTGACTATTACCGCATTTGACACATCAGTGTCACAGTGCTTAGCATCACAGCCACCACAAGTAGCAAATGAAATTAATTACATAACAAGTCAGAGGGGGAAATGGCCCTTCCTTGTATTATTCTACCTCGACTATTAACTAAGTACTTGTTTTGGGGGAATTAACTCTTTACTTCTTTTTTTTTTAAATTTATTATTAATTCAATGAAAATTTACAGAGACTTTGGATTTCCATTCATCCATTATTGCACTTTTCTCCCCTCCCCACCCTCCCCTCTAGTACACCACCCTCTTGGAAAAGTAAAACAAAAATTCTTTCATTGTTTTACAATCCCTCCACCCAGTTCCACTCCACTATGCAGCCTTCACTCTGGACTCCCATTTTGATAAAAATACCTAATCATATATTCCTTTTAAACAGTTTTCTCCTTCATCTTCCCCAATGCAGTGTACATTATTAAACCCATTTTTCTCAGTCTCCTCCCAACCCTGATGTCAGTCCTGTTTTACAACAGGGGCATCATGCACTATTTGTCCTTTTATGACTGAGATACTTCACTCAGCATAATGTCTTCCAGGGTCACCCATTTTGAATAATATTGCATTAGTTCCTTGTTTTTCAATGCAGCATAGTATTCCATTGTGTTAATATACTACAACTTCTCTATCTATTTGTTTGTTGATAGGCACATAGGTTGTTTCCAACTCCTTGCTATTGTGAGCAAAGCTGTGATAAACATGGGTGTGTATATATCTGTTTGGGTGTCAGTTATGGTCTCTTTGGGGTATATTCCCAGTAGTGGAATTGCTGGGTCAAATGGTATCTCTATTTGCAACTTTTTGAGAAAGTGCCATACCGCCATCAATCGTGATTGCACCATTTTACACTTCCACCAACAGTGAATAAGGGTTCTAGTTTCTCCACAACGTCACCAGCATTTGCTGCTTGCTGTTCTGTTAAATTTTGCTATTCTTACTGGGGTGAGATGATATCTCAGAGTTGTTTTGATTTGCATCTCTCTTAGAGCTGGGGATTTTGAACATTTCTTCATGTGCTTATTAGCTATCTGAATGTCTTCTTTGGTGAAGTGTCTGTTCATATTCTGTGCCCATTTTTCTATTGGATTATTACCTTTATCTTGTTGTGGTGCTCAAGTATTTTATAAATTCTGGATATAAGTCCCTTATCTGATATGACATTACCAAACATTTTTCCCAGTCTGTGGCTTCCCTTTTTACCCTGTTGGAGAAGTTTTTGGATGTTCATAGGGATTTGATTCTTAGAAAGTCTCATTCATCTATTTTATCTTCTCCTGGTTGTAGGTTTTTCAGGATACTTGGAAGACTGTTTATGTTGTGGATTAGGACTTCTAGTGTTCTGGAAGAAGCTTGGAAAGCTTTTCTTTAATAAAGATTATAGTCCTTGGTTTTAATCTTAGGGGTTATGAGTTAATAAAATCTAGAGTCAGTATCATTGAAGGTATATTCACTTCTTTTTTTGTTTGGTTTTTATTACTATTCCAGTGCAAGTTTTCACCTTAAATTTGGTTCTCATTTGACAATTTATACACAAATTATTTAGTGACAATTTCATTTTTCATGTGTCAGCATTTAAAAAAACTTGCATTCTGATTGTTCTGCTTTCAGTACTCTAGTTTTCCTGCTCCTTTATCTTCTCATCTTTGTTTTAGACTAATTGTTGACCTTTGGCTCCCGTACAGAAGGTTTTTAAAGGAGCACAGATAATATAATCTGTCAGGAATCATGTTTTTTTAGGGTTTAAAAAAAAATCTAAAAATTCTTTTTCTCAAAGTCCTCTAGTTTTGACTGAGCCAGTAAATGTGGACCTTTTAAGAAGATGAGTTCATTTTTGTCAGGGTCTGTCTATTGTGACTCTGATCAAGCTGGTTAGCAGTGGTGGTTGAGCACTGTGTATTTGTGCAGGTATCACTAATGAGACTATGACTTGTGTAAGCTTTCTGTCTTACAGACTAATTTCTTCTCAGAAACTGGTTTTCTTTATGACTTTTATCGATTTTGAAGAAAATAGTAGAAAAATATGACTGTTAGCTTTTTATTATTAGTATTTGGAATCCTGAATGAATATATTTTTGAGGAGAACATCTTGTTAATCTTAGAGCAATATTTATTTGGAGAGTCTATAAAATCATATTTATTCATCCTTTCATGGTGCTTTCCCAAAGTGTGTTTGATGCAGTAATAACTACTGTGCTTGACAGACTTTATATATCATTTAGGGTTTCCTTCTGAATTTAGGGAACCTGCACCTGGGGTTGCTGAGCCTGTGGGAGCAGAAGTGGTAGGATGACAGGCTGGTGGGGTTTAACTCTTCCATTAGCCAGAGCACTAAAACATCCCATCTGTTTGTGAGACCTCTGTGTAAGACATATATCATTATACAATGCACCAGAGACACATAGCATTATTATTGCTATATTATTTTAACTCCTCCAACTACACAATCTGCAGGGTCCTTTGTTCATTCAATCAGTGGTTAATAGCTAACAAACTCAGAGACAGGATAACAGTGGAAGTGACTGGATTCTCAGACCTGAATCTCTTCCAGTGTACTGTGTTTCCTCAGTTTATTCTTGCCATAATTAACCAGTGTCACATCAGACCACCCCCATATGTATATCAATTTGTAGCGGTTTCCTTTTCTGTGATGCTGGAAGCAGTACTACTTATATTTTAAATACAAAAAGGGTTACCTATGATGGACAGTTTTCATCTGAACTTCAGACTAAGACAAATTAAGAATGGCTTGATAATCTACTTCTGAAAATTAGCCAATGAAAACATAATAGTTCACAACAGAATATTGTCTCATACAGTACTGTAAGATGAAATCTGGAAAACTCAGTGCAAAGACAGAGACTGCAAACTTACACTCCAAGATTCCAAGGATCTTGAAAGTGGCACAGAAATGGGCAACACTGTATGTGAAATTATCCTGAGAGCAAACATGACAGCCACTTGACAATACCAAGTAAAGTCATTCTTCCCTTCCGCTTTGCAGGTGAAGTTGAAGATGAATTACTTCATGCTTACAGCAAAGTGTACACATTTGACACTCCTCTCCTGATGGTACGCGTGGCAGTGCTTGTGGCGGTTACACTAACTGTGCCCATCGTTCTGTTCCCAGTAAGTACACAGAGCTTTGAAGAAAGAATCTTGTGTGGCTCCTTATATTGTATGCAAGTTCTGACTCTTGTGGATATAATAGTCATAGTGAGAAGGTTTTTTTGCAATACCTGAGGCAATGATTGTTTTATGTCACATTTTGGAGCCATATAATATTCACTACTTTAATATGTGTATTTTTTAAATAAATACTATTAGGAAACGTTGATGACATAGTCCATAGAGAGTTATGCTACTGACCCAAAGGCAGCACGTCTTTGGTGGTTCAAATCCATCAGCAGCTCCATAGGAAAAGGATGAAGAAAAGATAATGAAAAGTTCACTTGCTTTGGCCGAGAGTTACACGTATTTAACACAGGTCAAACCTGTGAAGAGACTTCCTTTTTATCAGAACAGACTGATCATGCCTTTATAGAAGTGTTTCTAATTCTGCCTCATTAGTGTCATCATACATAAAAACCAAAAACAAAAACCAAACTCAAAGTCATCGCTCTGGTGTCAGACAGCTCATAGCTGACTCTCCAGCAGGTTTCAGAGGCTGTGAATCATAAGGGAGAAGATTGCTCATCTCTCTCCCAAGGAGCAGCTAGTGGATTTTAACCACCTGCCTTTGGGTTGGCAGCTTAACGCCTTACCCACTAGGTCACCAGAGCTCTCCATTAACATCATGAAGGTTAGGGTTTACAACACATAAGATAGTTACATCACTTACAACATATAAGATAGTTACATTATACAATCATGGTAATGTTGGCACACAATATTCACCATCACAATCATGGTATTCAGGAGCTCAGGTGGCCTAGTGGCAAGAAGCTGCAATGCAATACTGAAGGCATGCATTTCAAATACACCAGGTGCTCCAAGGGTGAAGGATAGACAATCTCCTCCTATGCGATTAACTGCCTCTGAAAACCCGCCAGAGGGTCAGCTATGGGTCAATTCTGACTTGATGGTATGCAACAACTACAACAACCAGGTTCAGTAAAGCAGTACAAATGCACCTATGGTTTCCTCAATCATCCAGCTAACTATCTCAGAGTAGTGACAATCCAAGTTCAGCAGCTTAAACGCACCTCTGGTTCCTCACTCATGCAACAAACTTTATCTGAGTGTAGTGACACAATCATGATATTCAACTGCAGAGTCAACTATGAGTTGATTCTGACTCAATGGCAATGCATTTGCTTTTGGGCTTTGTTGTTGGTTTGTTTTTGGTTTTTCTTTTTTTTAAATTTACTGTTTAATGTTGCTGTTGTGTACCACTGAGTCAGAATGAACAAATAGCTGGCCCTCCAGCAGGTTTTCAGAGGCTGTGAATCACACAGAGACTGTCCATCTTTCTCCACCGGAGCAGCTAGTTGATTTGAACTGCATACCTTTGTATTGGCAGTGCAGTTCCTTAGCACTAAGTCACCAAAACTCCTATTTAAGGTATAAGTATCATAAATATTTTAAAGTATGGGGTGTTGGGGGCTGGAGAATGAGAGTTCTTTTTATACACAGATTCAAATATGGAGCACCTATCTAATAGGTTAGTAAGAGAATACGGATTCATATAACTTATGCAGCTTCAAAGTCAAAACCACACTAACTTCCAAAACACATTGCCTTTTCACCACAGTTTTTGAGAGCCTTTCATATTTTTTTCCAGTTTGTTGTGCAGTTAAAAACCTCTAAAGTCAGCTTTATTTATCCTAACTCCCTAAAGACTAATAAGAAGGGCAGTCATGTGAAGTCAATTTCAGTAAATTACATATTAGAAGGAAATTTCTCGAAAAAAATAGTTATGCTATCCATCATATATCTCCTCCACCCCCTGAAAGTGGCACATGCCCTCTACCAGACTCGCACTGATGGCCCCTTCTTGGCACTCACCATTGGCGTCGGTTTGTTCTCGATCACAGAGTAGGCCTGCTGGTGGAGACAGGAGCTGTATGAGCTAAAACCACCACCTATGGATAAACATAGGTCTTCACCCTCCTGCCAACTCTTCTCCTTTCATAAACACTGAATTTACTCATTCATTTTACAGAGGAAAAATAAACAACACAGCAAACAGCACTGGCCTGTGCCAAATATTCCATACAGTACCCAGCATTTGAGAAGAACTTATATAATGACATAGTGGTCACTTTAAATGCAGCTTGCATGCTAAAGTATTTTTTTGGCCACATTCCTTTCTCATGAATGCATGCAGTCAGATCTTTAGTACTTTGGCAGCTAATATTTTACTTTTACATGTTATCTTGACTCTAATATGTCTGAAATAACGTTAACTTAAAATCAGCTCCATCTTGACTACAAGGTGCACTACAGAGGAGAATTCCTAACCAATCAACTCCACTGAGAAAAAAAGTGGATCTTTTTGTATGTAAAGATTTTACTGACTAAATTTTAATATTTGGTAGGCATTCACACCAGTTCAAATCCACAAGCAGCTCTGCGGGTGGGCGGGCGATCAATTCCTGTGCGATACTACTGCCTCTGAAAACCTGCTGGAATCAGCTATAAGTCGGTTCTGACTCTACAGGATACAACAACTGTATACTTCTGTGTTACTTTATTCAGAAGGCTCAAGTACTTTTAAGACACAGTTTAAAGAAATGGAAGAGTCTGGCCCTGGTCACAGCTAACTGATAACAACCGAACTGGTGTAGTGCTTATAGCATGTTTGTGATGGCTGCAGTTGTGATCATGGGAAGTAAAAGTGAATCTTCCATTGACTGATCAAGATTTCAGCTCAACCTTGAAAGTCTTGTTCTCCTTTAGAAACTTTTTCCCTGCATGACAGATGAAGTATTTGTGTTAAGGTGATCAGTGGTTCTAATGGCCATTAGATGGCCATTAGAACCAAAATGGAAGGAGCCCTGGGGCTACAAAGATTAAGTACTTGGCTGCTTATCAGAAGGTTAGTGGTTCAGACTCACCCAAGGGGGTTCCAGGAGCAAAGCCTGGCTCTCTGTTTCTTTTAAAGATTATAGCCTAGAAATCCCCGTGGGGCATTTCCTCTATATCACATAGGATCACTGCCATTAGAAATCAATTGATGGCACTTAACAGTAGTTCAAACCCATTGCTCTCTGGTCAGCTCATAACAACTGTAAGATGGTATAGAACTGGCCCATAGGATTTCTAAGGTTCCAGTTTTTACTGAAGGAAACTGCCACAGCACTCTCCATCTGAACAGCTATGGATTCAAACTGCAATCCTTTCTGTCAGTGCTTAACTACTACGCCATCAAGGCTCCTTCTAAAAACAACAACAGAACCAAATGGATCATTAGCACCAAAATTCAAGAAAATTGCTAACTGCCACAACCATTATTATATATTTTCCTTTTTATGGTTGATAATTATGAACATTTATTAAGCACTGCATTATGTATTTTCATTCAACATAAACATTTAGGAAACATTTGCACATACTTATGTCTTTTCGCTTAAATGTTATAATGAATGATCTATATATGTGTCTGCCTTCTCTACCTATTTTTTTTAAAAAATGCCATAAAGCTGAATCCAATTTACAGGACAAAGTAGAATTGTCCTGTAGAGTTTCTAAGGTTGTAATCTCTATGGAAACAAACTGCCACATATTTCTCTTATTATTGGTGGGTTCTAACCTCTGATCTTTCTGTTAACAACTAAGCTAATAACCACCACACCACTGGGGCTTGTCCTGTGCCTTCCCCAGTGGGTATGTGTCCCTGCAGATGAGAGTTGTGCAAAGAAAAGGGCCCAAAGGATCAGCTCCAAAATGTTTGCCAAGAAAAATCATCTCTGATGAGTTTTGCCTGTTTGGAAATGCATAAACTGCCATTTATAGGAAAGAGACTCACAGGACTTTTTTTTTTTTTTTTTGTGGACAGTTAGATGCTGGCTGTAAACCCCAGATTTTTTTATGATATGGTTGGAATGAACACAATTTCCCTGCATGTAAATAGGAGCATAGAGGTGGGAGTTACATGCTTAGCCTTCTAGTCCCAGTCAAATGCTGTAAGGCTAACTTCACTTCCCACATTGCCAAGAAAAACAGAAAAGCAAATAATCTTGGCAGGCTAAGCATGAACACACAAGCTCAAATTCCATCTGCTATACTTGGAAAGCACAAAGAGATCGCATTTAGGATCCTCTAGCCTCAGTGGCAAGAAGCTGCACTGCAATTCTGAAAGCGCATGGTTCGAATCCACCACCTGCTCTGCAGGAGAAGGATAGGCATTCTGCTTCTGTGAAATTAACTGCCTCTGAAAACACTCCATAGGGTCAGCTGTGGGTCTAATCTGACTCTGCAGTGCACAACAACAACAAGCACTCACTCTATTTCACTTATCACCAGGAAGCCACTCCTTTTACTTGTATTTCCTTCAAGCCTGTTCTTTCAAAGTGTTTGTAGGTAAGGAATTACAGCAGATGTTGCTGTGAACTGCAGTTGAGAAGCAATCTCTGCCTGGTATTTCTAACCCCCTTGCCCTAAACAATCCTACCGAGTGAAACTGTGACTCACTTCTAAATAATGGAAGAATAGATTTTTTTTTTTCTTTCTTTTAAGAATTTAGAGTCAAGGCTTCCACTTCCAAGTCTGCCTCCACAGTTCTGCCCTTCACATTGGGTCCCCATATCTGAACACAGCACCTCCTGACTGGCTCCTGCTCAGGACATTCTGGACATTAACAGTGCTGTCCTATGGACTGCACAGAACCTTCGTAGAAGCCTCCTGAGTATGGGCTGCACCAGTGCGGGGGACATGCACCACCCACAGTATGTGACCCACATTAACAGGTCCTTATCAGTGTGTGTCAGTAGAGAAGAGGGCTCCTAGCAAAGTAGAAGAGCAGGCAAGTCTGGTAATAAGCACTCCTGCTGTACTGGCACAGATAGATAGAACTGATAGGACCCTTGGATCCCAGGTCACCCCATAGGGCAATCTTTTAAGATGAAATGACTTGTATGCTTCCTTCCGAGTCTTTGCCATCACCCACCACCAACAGCGGCCGTGGTGTGCAGTTGGGTGGATTTCAACTCTTAAGTGACCACAAAAGACAGAGTGTCCCTGCTCCATGGGGCTTCCAAGGCTGCAGAGCTTTTAGGGAGCAGGCTTCCAGGTCTTCTTATGCAGCAGCTTCCTCTTGTTCTGATTGCCAATACCCTTCCAGGAATTTATTGGTAACTCTAGATGCCTTCTATTCTGTTTGGGGTTTTGTTACTCCTTATTTGCTGGGAGAAGCAAGCTTCTTTTATGGGAACAATTACTGCAATTACTGTAACTGTTTCTACCTTTTATTCCTGTAAACTTCTGTACTCTTACATTATCAGGTCAAACCCTAGTCTTTCCGGGAGCTGTGCACCCTTAAAAAACTGTATTTACTTTCAGAGAGGTTCAGCATGGGCAAGAAGAGGGTCTAGACTCAGTTGGGCAAACTGAACGCACAGTTGTAACAAAGACTGTTTTAAGAGCATATAGGTGTGGCTGCTGCTTGACTTGAGCCTATATGTCCTATGTAGTCTTTTTAGAGAGAAGAGAAACCCTGGTGATTAATGAATTTAACACTTGGAGAGTAAGAAAGTTTAAGTCCTAGGTATCATAGAAAGTCTATTGATTTGAACTGTGGGAGAAGAAGGATGGGCAATCTCCTCCCCTGCCTCTGAAAACTCTCCAGGAGGCCAGCTAATTCTGACTCTATGGTACACACAGCAGTAACAACAATTGATTTTAACTAGCTTGGACAAATTAAGTGAGTACTCATTGATGGTCACAATGTGAACTGACTGCGCTGAGGAGCCTTGATACCAGAGCAAATTATATGTTATGCAAACCCAAAGGTCAGCAGTTCTAAACCATCAGCCACTCCTCTGCGGGAAGAAAGACAGCCTTCTCCATAAAGATTTACAGCCTTGGAAACCCAATGCAGGGTCACTGTGAGTCAGAATTGATGAGAAAACTAATGCAACCCATTTTCTTTCCTCCTCAAACTTTCCAAATGATATTCATCATTTTCACTCATCTACTCTTTAAAATCCTTTACAGAGCTGCATGCAAACCAGCGCCAGAAATGATCTGGTTTGCCACTCTTGAAATGAAATTGCCTTTTAAACCTAAACAGATGGCTTTCATTTTTTTTGGTGGAATGGTATGAAAGGAATGTCACATTAGAAACTGCAGGCAATTCAGCTGGAAATTTTTTGCCCATCACACATGTGTTTCAAAACGTAATTTACATCTTCTCTCTTTTAAACGAGTTCCCTTCTCACCAGTAAGAGACTTCAGAACTAAAAATTCAAAGTGAAAAAGCAAACCCAGCATTTCTAAAAATGTGCTGCTAGAGCTTAACTGAAGTACTCACTTACTGAAAAGCCAGTGGACTAATCTCACTAAGTCAGAAAGTGTTCTGGTAAAGAAGTGGAAGATAAGAATATTTTCAGCTTTGTTAAACTATGCAAACATCAGCAGCACCCTCTCCCTGTCTCCACAAAGATCTCTTTATCCAGTTACATCAGAGTAACCTGAGCAGGGCTGCAACAGAGCGGCCCCTGACCTTTTACCTACTTATTTTCACTGAAACTGGGATGAAATCTATCAAAGATCCCGAAGTGAAGGAAACAGTCTTCCTGTTCCATTTCACTCCACTGTTATGAGTGTCTGCTATGTACAGGCACTAAATTTGGCATTTTGAGGACTGTTAGATTATTTGACCCTGTTTACATTTTGTCGATTTATAATCCATTGTTTGGGAAGGGTAAGTAAACACAGGAAGGTTCACAATTTTTAAAAATGCTGGTTAACAAAAATGCAAAATCAAGAAAACTGTCAAAAGAACTAAAACCCACTGCCATGGAGACAGTTTCCACTCTGTGGGACCATCCTTTGGGTTCTTAGGCTTCAAGTCCGTCTCCAGCAGAGCGGCTGATGGATTCGAACAACTGGCTTTTCTCCAGCACACTAGACTACACAGCATGCCACCAGAGCTGCTTGGGTTTGTAAAAATGTCTGTCACAGACTGTGTAAAGTAACTCAGTGCTACATCATGATGCAATCTAAGGAGATAGGAATAGGATCAAGAAGGACTTTATTGTGTCTCTCTGTCAAATCTACCAGCCACCCCAATGAAGACAGAGGGCAGTCTCCTTCCATAAAGATTTACAGCCTTGGAAACCTCAGGGAAGGTTGCTATGACTCAAAACAGATTCTATGGCAAGAGAGAGTGGAGTATCCCTTTGTGAGATTGTTTTTTAAAATATAAAAAAATGTGAAAATGAAAAGAGCACGAAACATATTACCAAAGAAAAATGACAAGCGCTCTATCTTAAATGGCACCTTTTTAAAAACAACAACAAAAACCCCAAACACCCACCACAATCTTCTCTGGGAGAAAAAGGATGATGAAAATGCTTCCTAATGTTGAGAATATTTGAAACAATAATTGAATTTAAAAACTAAAGAAATGATTCTTATCCGTGTACTCTTCTCATTGCAGATCCGCACATCAGTGACCACACTGCTATTTCCCAAAAGACCCTTCAGCTGGATAAGACATTTCTTCATCGCAGCCATCATTATTGCACTTAATAATGTTCTGGTCATACTTGTACCAACAATAAAATACATCTTTGGATTCATAGGTAAGTTCTAGAAAGGCTTTTATTTCATTAATATTAGCTTAGCCCTCATTAATCGTCTGGTCAGAGCAGCTCAGGAGATTCCCATCAACCCAACCAAACACCCAGAGTTTACTTCCTTACCACCATATTGGAAGTCACTTATTCACAAAGTCCATCAGAGCTAGAAACTAATTTACAGTTCATACATAAGGGCATTCTGTCTAGGTTTCCTGACATAAAGAAACTGAGTTCCATAAAAGAGAAGTCATATAGTGATGCCCAAAAATTAGACTTATATCATGTTGTCATCAAAAACAGTTTTTACTTGGTAGGAGCTACTCTTCCATCTATGAGTATCAGCTAAGCCTTAAAAGGCTTCTTCAGAGGAAGGTGCATATTGTTTCTCTTAACTGTGTGACATCTTAACTACTTGATTTTTCAGCTTACTTATCTAAGGGGCTACTCAAATTTTAAGGACAATGTAAACTTAAGAAAATAAAATTTAGGCAAACTTAAAAAGTAAGAAGTGGATACTTACGATGTGTGATGAATTCCCTCTCGGTTGTGTGTATTTATGCAGTCTGCTGTCGGTACATCTATTCTGGCACATGGCTACTCCATGTGTTTCAGAGTAGTATTGGCTTCATAGGGCTTTCGCTGGCTAGGACCTTTTGGAAGTAAATCACCAGAACTTTCTTCTGAGGCAACTCCAGGTGCATTCCCCTATAAATTTTGTTAATATGTCCTGTCTTTTTGTTGTTTGGCATGCATATTTATTATGTAGCTATCATGTTATTGTTGTTATATGCCAACGAATCGCTTGTGACTCACAGTGACCCTATGCACAATAGCTCTGACCCCTGCTCTATCCTGAGCCAATCTCACTGTCTTTGACACATCTACCTTCATTATCCCAGTTACTATATCAATCATCTCATCTGTGGTTTTCCTCTCCTACTATCCCTAGACCTGTCCAAGCATGATACCCTTCTCCAAAGATTGATCCCTCCTGGCTACATAAAAGTGTGTCAGATGGAGTCTCAAAATCCATTTTAATTTCAAAAAAAGTATATCTAAGCATATCTTCTCTGAATATGCTACCAAGATAAGCTTGCAAAATTTAAATACTTGCTTTTAGCGCTAAGAACAGAGTAGCTTTGTATTTGTTTTTGTGAATTGTGGTCCTCCCCTAGCAGTGTCTTCCTGTGTCAGACGATGGCCTGTGTTTCTCTCCTCAGGGGCTTCTTCTGCCACCATGCTGATATTTATCCTCCCAGCTGCTTTTTATCTTAGACTTGTCAAGAAAGAACCTCTTAGGTCACCTCAAAAGATTGGGGTAAGTAAAGCTTTCAATAACTCCCTGCCTCATAAAATGGTGCTCTTCAACCATTTAGAGTAAAGAAAACCTCAAGTTTTGTTCTTTTTTTTTAAATGAATTGATAAAAACCAAAACCAGATAGATCAGGGACTCTGTTGGCAAGAGGAACAGACAGGTATTTCTAGCATTCAGGATTTGCTGTCTTCCTATATAAAAGATATCCTGGTGAACCCTCCCTGGGGTTGAAGGCCAGTGTAGTTTTCCCACACTTATGCCTGTGTTACGTACAGACCAGTGCACATGCCATGCTGCTGCTGTGCACAGATACGAAAGGGAAGAATCAGGATCCCAGTTGTGCTATGAAATTGTTCCAGTATTTTGGTCAAGCTATTTAGGTTTGAAGGCCAAGAAAAGATGCTGCTTTTGTTATTCCTTCTATAGTGCTCTTCTGTCCTCTGAAGGGAATATTCTTCCCTCTGTACACTGACATCCACAATTGTTGACCTCTTTAGATATAAAATACAATCTTATTAGAGCACACATATTTCCTTTTCATAACAGTACTACAGAAACACATACTAGAAATAGTTATGCCTTTTCACTAACTCAATATTATCAGTAACTCCTTAATAAGGCCATATTATGTATTGAAAGGACTGGCTAGCCTAACTTACTGAGAGTCCTTCACCTCTCAGGACATTGAGGATTTCTGTCATTTTAGTCAGAAGCTCCCATCATTTGGCCAGTGCTTGGAAAGTTACCTGTCCTTTTTGTGATCCATTTTGTATTTGACCAGATATAAAACGGGGGAAAAAAATTACCTATAGCTTCATTTAAAATATGAGGCTAATCTCCGTTAATATAAAAGCCCTCTTGTAGTGTTAAAATGTTTAAATATTTTTATTACAGTATTACTAAATATTATTATAGCTTTAATACAGAAATGTAATAATCTCGTTATGGAAATTTTTACGTTATGAAATAAAAAAAAGAAAGAAAACCACAATAGCCCATGCCTAATGGGTAAGGAATCGCTACCAACCCAGATGCAGGCAATTTGAATATACCAGCTGCTCTGACAGAGAAAGATGGGCAAGCTCCTCCTGTGAGATTTACAGCCTCTAAAAACACACTAGACTATCAGCTTTGAGTTGGCTCTGACTCAACAAGCATGTAACAACTCATGCAGAAACATCTAGATTTTATATATGTGTGTATTTTTCCCCCCCCAAGTCCTTGCCATAGAGCTACTGGTAAATTTGAACTTCCAGAGAGGTACTGCCTTTGAGTTAGAAGCGCAACTCCCTTTAGACTATGCCAAGTATTCGTATGTATAATAGATATAGTTCAAGTGCATAGATATATAGTATACTATATATAGCATGTTGTTGTTCTTGTTAAGTGCTATCGAGTCATAGACAACTCATAGCAACCCTATGAACAAAAGACCTGAGCACTGTTCATAGACTTTCCAGAGGCAAGCCGTTTTTTATATTATATTATATATACATATAAAAGTTCTGGTGGCCTAGTGGAAAGAAGATGCACTTTAATCTCAAAGGCACACAGTTCGAATCCCACCAGCTGCTCTTTTGGAGAAGGATGGGCAGTCTCCTCCTGTGTGACTAACTGCCTCTGAAAACCCACTGGAAGGTCAGAAACAATGATACAAAACAACTATCTATATATTCATATATACATTCCTATATATATTCCCATGTATAGATATTCACATATGTATTTTTCTATATATGTTATATATGCCATGTTATAATGGATGTAGTATATATATTATAGCATATAGATAGATAACATATATAGTGTACACTCGTATGCTTTAAGTCTTCTTTTTCTTTTCAAGTAATACTACATCTATTGGGTTTTTGGTTTTATTTATGTACTTTTTAAAATTATATCACAGAATACATATTATTCCTTTAACCTGTTTGCCCTTTATGCCTGGAAATGGTATGTGTTCCCCGCATCATTAAAATTTTTTTTTCCATCATTTGATCTGTAAAAATAACAGGCTTCCCCATAAATTTGCTTTACCATGTTGTTGCTGTAGGCGGTTAAGTTGGAATCAACTCATAGCTGATCCTCCGGTGGGTTTTAGAGGCAGTAAATGACATGGAAGGAGATCACCTATCCTACCAACAGAGCAGCTGGTCGATTCAAACTGTGTGCCTTTGGATTGCAGTACAGCTTTTTTCCCCTAGGCCACCAGAACTCCTTGCTTTACCATAATTAATTGCCATTAATGTATAATTGAACATTTAGGTTATACCTCTATACTTCCTCCACTAGTGTTCTTAGTTGACTCATGAGTTAGTCTTGGACATCTGGGATATAAGAGTAATACAGTTCAATATTCGAATCAGTTTGTTGTCTTACTCAAGCAACATTTCCAAGCAAACTGTACTAAGTGAGTATGCTTTCTGTCTCTGTGTTCCCTGACAAGTTCTTTCTGAATTACAGGCTATAATTTTCCTGGTGATTGGAATCATTTTCATGATTGGAAGTATGGCACTCATAATAATTGACTGGATATACAATCCTCCATATTCCAAGCATCATTAACCAAGAGAGAGAAAAAAAACACCTTTTTTTTCCCTACTGGAAATGTTTGCAAGTTATGCTCCAAAAGATGTTTATCTTGATTGGAATGTTATTCTTAGGAAGTAACAGGAAGATTCCAAAGACATTTACCAGTAATATCACCAGACACCTTCAGAAAAGAAAACCATTGTGGTTTTAGTTTGTTTTCAATAAATAATAGCTGTTTAGGTGTTAAAAATCTGTGGTGCACATTTCTACCCAGGCTTTACCATTTTACTGAAGTGGTGTAGGAGATGATCAAGGTATGTGTTTGCTACCGTACAAGCAGAATAAGGGTAGCTGCATGGAATGGTCATTAGATAATCCCTACCCAGCACCCCCAAAAAAGTACTATGTACTTATATTCTCAAAGCATCAAATAAAAAGACCCTGGTAGCAAAGCTATCACCACTTAATGGCATACTTCATGAGTTATCCCTGCAAGGTACGTGAATGATCAGACACTAGTATATAACACCTTACTATCAACAGTAAAGGAATACTTTGTCTATTCTGACATTGAATTAGCAATTTCTTCATTCAGTAGATTCCCCACCCTTATAAATGTTTTAACACCTTACTCAGAAGAGAGGGGTTTGATTTCAATTACAGAGCAACAACAAAAAAAAAATGCTAATCGCTGAACTGCCTGTTCTGAAAGCATCTGCATTTTATTGTTCTTGCTACTCTTGTCACATTTTTCTTCATTGAACAACACTCTCCCTCTCGTCTTCCATTCACAGTCAGAATTTTCAGAAGACCACATTTCTTGTGGAAACATATGACCCAGTATTGTTTGATACATTTTTATTTGATAAACTTTCAGTGCAGGAAACTGTGATTCACTTTATAGTCATGTATATACTCTTATTCTGTAGTCACCAGAATTTTAATGTATGGTACCTTTGATTTTTTTTATTTTTACATGTGTAGCTTTTCCTCCTCACAGTCAAAAGACTTATGTTATTGGGAGCAGGAGCAGGGAATTTTTAAGTTGGTAGGTTAAAAAAAAATCCATGTGTATGTATCTGTCATTGAGGTTATTTTAAAATTGGAACTTATATTACATAAAGTTCAGTAATGCTCTTCTCTAGTGTTTACAATAATAGCACAATCATCTACAAGAAAATAAGTTATTTGCAAATAATTGTCAGTACTAAGGTTATTCATTTCATTTGTTGTTGTTTTTTTATTCCAACGCATAACGACCACATGTGACAGAGTAGAATTGTCCCAGAAGGTTTTATGGGTTGTCTATGGAAGCAGATAACCAGGTCTTTCTCCCAGAGAGTTTCTTGGTGAGTTTGAACCACCAACCTTTCAGTTAGCGGTTGAACACTTAATTGTTGTGCCACCAGGGCTCTTTTCATTTAACATCACTAAAATAGAATTTGATGTATTTTAGCTTTGATAGCTGTCAGTGACATTCACTTGCCATTTGTTGTGTGATTCTTGATAAAAATAAAAAATGTTAACACTATGAAAAAATGCAAACTATAATTCTAATTCACTTGTTTAATCTACTTATGCAAAATGGATTTAAAAATTACTACTCACTGCCAAGAATTCTCAGAGGTTACTATTTTTTTCAATCAGGAACAAGAGTATTTGTCATATAATTTATATTGTAGCAAAGCCAAGAATGAAAAGAACCTCTTATTAAATCATATTTAATACTTTTTCTATAATGTGCCTTAGAAAATATTCATTTGTCATACATATTATTTTCAAGAAGCACAAAATGTAATGTAAACACAAAATGTAAAATGGTACATTTTGGTATGGAGATTGAGCATCACTAGAAACTATCCTAACTTTGAGTTATTTTTTTACAAGAAAAAATATATAATTGCATTTTTTAACATATATCTATATATCTCTCTATATAGATATAGCAAAAAAATATATCCATTTCATCTAAAGAGTGTTCCAAAAGAGTTGAAATTGGAGAAAGTTACCTTTTGAATGTTAAAAAAAGTTTGATCTGAATGTATTTAAATGTAAATATCAAAGGGTAATCGAAAAAATTGAAAAAAACTGTAAATCTGTATATATTTTTAAAACTTTATATTTGAAAGGACTAACTTGAAACTATCAACCTGTGTAATTATATAAATATTCAAAAGCAATAATACAGTGCCAAACAGTAAAGCACCATTTTTATCCTGGCCACCATCAGGACTAGAGTTCACATATACTGCAGGGCAGACATACATATGGTATAATGTACTGGTTAATTTAACCCCATTTGTAAAAAAGATTAAAATTCTATTTTCTTATTTCATTTATAAGGTGGTTCAATGTATTGGGAGGCTTTTTTATTACAGAAAGTATATATTGGTATATAATAAATGAACTTTTCAAATGACTATGATGTGATTTTTCTATTCTTAAAAATGATTGTGATTTGTACATAAAAAAATTTGAATCTAAATGTTGTCTTTCTTATTACATTGGCATTGTGTTCCATTCACATATTACCCTTGACCTAATAAATATTTATAGCTGTCAACAAAGTAGTTGCCATTTTATCTTGGCAAAATAAATATATAATCCTAAATAATTTTTTTTATGTCAGTAGGTATATACCTCTCATAGTAAGTGGAGATGAAGTTTCTTTCTGATTAGTTAGGGATAGAATAATTCAGGTTGCAAAGTGAAAGCATAAGAAAGAAACATCAGGATGGTAAAATAAATGAGAAAGCAGCATGAGAATTGGTAGAAATGGGCTATTCATGAGATCTATGGTTCATATGTTAAGTGCTGGCTTAATAGAAAGTGGAAAGCAATTCTCCAAAGTGAATGTACGTGTACATTTTCCGTTTTGTTGGTAATATGTAAGAATGAAAATTCCTGCACCTCGTTGCCAATATTGGACTTGCTTTTTTTTTCTTTTCTTTTTCTACTAGTTTATTTACAAAATTCAAATACAAATTTGAACAAATTCTTTCTTGCTTTTTGTATTTTATCCTTTCTAACCCACTGTCTTCACAGCTTCAGTTTGCTCGGCTCCACAGTCAACATTCTTGGCACCAGCAGTCAGGAAATCAAAAAGCGTATCGTGATGGGAAAGTCTGCTGTTAGGGACCTCTCTAAAGTACTCAGGAGCAACAGTGTCTCTCTGGAGACTAAGGTGCGCCTGATACAGGCCATGGTATTCGCAATCGCTTGTTATGCATCAGAGAGTTGGACAATGACTAGGGAGGACAGAAGGAGAGTGGATGCTTTTGAGCTGTGGTGCTGGAGAAGGGTACTGAATGTACCCTGGACTGCCAGGAAAACAAACAGATTTATCTTGGAGAGGATTAAACCAAGCTACTCCCTGGAGGCAAGGATTCTGGGGCTTCGTCTGACATACTTTGGACATGTTGCCAGGAGGGACGGGTCCTTGGAGAGGGACATCATGCTTGGGAGGGTTGAGGGACAACGCAGGAGGGGAAGACCCTCTATGAGATGGATTGATTCGGTGACTGGGGTAATCGGGATGGGTGTGTTAGAGGCGGTGCGGTTGGCACAGGATAGAGCAGGGTTTAGGGCTGTTGTGCATAGGGTCGCTATGAGTCGCAAACGATTCGACGGCACATAACAACAACAACAACCCACTGTCTGCTGTTAGGGACCTCTCCAAAGTACTTAAGAGCAATGATGTCTCTCTGGAGACTAAGGTACGTCTGATACAGGCCATGGTCTTTGCAATCACTTGTTATGCATCAGAGAGTTGGACATGACTAGGGAGGATAGAAGGAGAATTGATGCCTTTGAGCTGTGGTGTTGGAGAAGAGTATTGAGGGTACCATGGACTGCTAGGAAAACAGATTCATCCTGGAAAGGTTTAAACCCAACTGTTCCATGGAGGCAAGGATTCTGAGGCTCCGTCTAGCATACTTTGGATATGTTGTAAGGAGGGACCGGTCCTTGGAGAGGGACATCATGCTTGGTAGGGTTGGAGGAACAGCGCAGGAGGGGAAGGCCCTCTATGAGGTGGATTGATTCAGTGACTGGGATAATTGGGATGGGTGTGTCAGAGACAGTGCGATTGGCACAGGACAGAACAGAGATTAGGGCTATTGTACATAGGGTCGCTATGAGTCACAAGTGATTTGATGGCACATAACAACAACAACCCACTGTCATTAAGGTGGTTCAGATTTGTAGTGACCTTATGGGACAAAACAGAACTACCCTTTAAAGTTTCCAAAGTTGCAAATCTTAATGAAAGCAGATGGCCTCATCTTTCTCCTAAGGGATAGCCAATGGTTTTGAACTCCTGACCTTTTTCTACTGAATGTAATACAGCATTGCATTACGGTTTTAGTTTCCAGTGAGCCAAGCCAAGGTATTTTTAATTGCTTCCTGTGCATCTGAAATAGGGTAATGAATAAGCATGACAGAACAAGAATCAATGCTCTTGAATTGTGGTGTTGAAGAACATCCCATGGACTGTCAAAAGAACACACAATATGTCTTGGGGAAAGCACAACCATGATGTTCCTTAGAGGCAAGGATGATGGAGAGACGGAGGATCAATGAAGGAGAGAAAGACCCTCAACAAGATAGATTGGCACAGAAACTGTAACAAGGATCTGGAGCATATCAGAGATTACAAGGATGATGCAGGCAGGTCAAGGTTCAGATCTATTGTCCATAGTTGCCATCTGAGTCATAGGTGACTTGACATTTAACAACAGCAAGCACTATTGAAACCTTCCTCACAGGTTTAAAGAACACACATATGTCACTTCTTTAAAATGCCTGTTTAAGTCTTTATCCCACTTTTAGAATTGTGCCCTTGAACTTGTCATCACTCTGAACAATTCTTTGTATAATGAAACAAAACATTGCTTGGTGCAGTACCATGCTATCAGTCATTGCTTTGCTTAAGTTCACTGTTACAGTCACTGTACTCGTCTGTCTCCCTGAGAGTCTTCCTCTTTTTGTGCTAAGCGCCTACCAAGCATGATTACTCTTCAGGCACTGGCTTTTCCTAATAATGTGTCCAAAGCAAGCAAGGCAGTCTCACTACCCTTGCTTCAAAACCATTCTGATTGCACTTAATCCAAGAAAAAATTGTTCATTATTTTGACAGTTCATAGTGTATTCAATATCCTTCACTAACAACACAATTCAAAGGCATTAATTTTCTTTTGGTCTTTCTTATTCATTCATTTTCCAGTTTTCACATATGTATAAGGAGATTGTAAATGCTAGTGCTTGGGTCAGGAGCACTTTATTAATCAAAATAACTTCTTTCATTTCAGTGATTTTTCCCTTTCCCCACCCTCAGTCCTCCTTCCCTTTTTGGACATTTATACACATCTTACTAATTTTCCTTCCATTTTTACAGTAATGGTCTTATGCATTCTTTATCCTTACAAGACTGAACTAATTCAGTCAGCGTAATGCTCTCTACT